AATCTCCCGCCAACACCGGCGCCGCTCCGAGCAGCCAATCCAGGCAGAGCGCACGCACATGCGCACGCGCACGTACCAAGCCCCGCCCCGGCCTTATTTACCAGCGCCTCAGGGCCCCGCCCCGTCCTAGAGCGCGAGGGAAAACACGGCCTGGCATACAACAAAACGCGGAGCTGAAGTCCACGTCTTACAACCAGCTGCTGACGGCCCCGACGCTAAAGATTTGCCGAGCTTTCCCTCCCACCCGCGCCTGCGCCAATTTTCAGGGCTCCACGGCTCTCGGGAACCGGAAAGGGGAGGTCCCCTAGCCGAAAAGTCAAAGGGCTCTCAGCAAAGAGGCGGATCCAAACCCTGGGCTGGGGCGCCTGCTGCTGGGCGCCTGCGCAGTTGTCTAGTGCCGAGCGCTGCCCAATAGGCTGGATTTGACTGCCAGTCCGTTGCCCTTAACCAGTGGCGTGAACTGGGGGGTTTCTTCATCCATCAGTGGGAGGACCCTGCAAAATAATGATGTTGGGCCTCATCACACCGTCAATAAAAATGCACCCAAAGTGGACCAAAAGCTTAAACCTAAGCGCTAAACGACACGTTTAGGAGAAAGCCGAGGGCAAAGCTTCGTGAGGGATTTGGCAATGATCGCTTGGACGTGCCGCGCAGGCGCAGTGGGTGATGGAACGGTCCGCAGAGGCACGGCCGCGGGGGGCTGTGGGACAGGGAGTGAATGAGCTCAAGCCATTGCGCCAATCGTACAGCTAAAAGCGGTCACAGTGCTAAATGTGACGTTAGGCATCTGTGACCACAACAGGAAATATGAGCATCTGTCATGCATGCAGAAGAACCTAACATAATGTCAACATAAAAAGAAGCGCCCATGTACTCACCACTGGATTAGGAAATAAACCGTTACCATCCCTCCCCAGGCTAAATTTGATCATTCCCAGGCTTTTCTATCAGGCCTATATCCCTAAATAATGCGTTAATTATTGTATGTTTCTAAACTTTATATGGACATCTGGTATGTATACTGCAGGTGCTCTTTCTCACTGAGAGCTATGATTTAGCCACGTTGCTGCACGGGGCTGTAGTTTGTTCATTTTCATTCTTTGGGTTGCATTAAATAAATGTACGACATTGTACGGATCCACTCTCCTGGGTACGGATACATCAGTTGTTTTTTTGTTTTGTTTTGTTTTTGTTTTTGCTATTACCACCACGCAGCACTAAACAGTCTTGCGTGTTGCAGGATACATGTCTAAGGGTTTCTCTAGGGAGAGACTCGGTGGTAAAACGATCACCTCCTTATTTAAAGGCATTTTCAGCTTTACATGATAAAGCGAATTTTTACACATTGTTTAGTAGACAATTTACAGCCTCACTAGCAGTATATAAAAGTACCCTTGGCTCCATATACTTGTTGATACCTAGAACTTTTCAAGACTTTCAAATTTTTACCTAACTAGTGCATTGAAATAGTACCTATTGTTGTTGTTTTTTTAATTTGCATTTCCCTGGAGTTGGTCATCTTTTTTTTTTAAACCTCACCTGAGGATATTTTTTCCATTGATTTTTAGAGAGAGTGGAAGGAAGGGAAGAGAGAGAGAGAAAGAGAGAGAGATCTATGTGAGAGAGGCACATTGACTAGTTGCCTCCCCTAGATACTAGTATATAGAAGGGCTTGTCATTTCTTATTGCCTCTGCTTTTTTCCTAGCGAGCTCTCCTGTTGAATTTTCTGTTCAGCATGTGTCCACTAGAGGGCAGATACAGAACGGGACAGGAGATTTGGAAAGGTATTTGGAGACCAGAGCCACTGGTTTGCAGACATTGTAAATATTAGTTCAAAGTCGGTTCCAGACGAATAAGACTAGATGTCTTCAATGCCCTTGCCCAACTCGTTTTCCTCCTCCTTGTGCATTATCTTCTCCCCTAATTTATCAAACCCATTCCTGTAAGTTTCCTTTCAAAGGAGTATGATTTTCTACTATGAAAAAGAGAACAGTTTACTTTTTAACTTCCTACAGTACCAACTAATTACTACATGGGAATAACCCACCAAACTTGGCAGTTTTCCTCAGGAAGAAACGAAGGTCATTATCTGCTGTAAACAGACCAACGGCTCAACATCTGTGATTATGACGCAGCAAAACAGACCTGCAGCTCCTGGGAGGGCGGGCCAGGGTGAGGCTGGGAAGGAGGCCTGCACGGGGATGTTCCCTTTAAGGAAAGAGGAAACACAGTTCGGAAAGGACGCCCTCTTCGGCGACCGTGAAAGCTGGAGGGCAGGAAGGTTTTTCCACTGTCACCAAGGGCAGGGACACGAGATGCCCCCGTGAGTCACATGCTTTCTCCCTGGCACTGAGCGACCGGTCAACTTATTTGCTCGGTAACGCATGTACTTTTTCCAGACCCAACTGGCATGGCCCCTGCCAAGCTGAGATCACATGGCTAAATCGGCCTGGCTCAGTCACATGTCTCAGATTCCATTCCCAGCAAATTCCAGGACTTCTCCAGCCAGGGAGTCGCTGACTTCCAACCTGCATGGGAAGTAATTTTACAGCTCAAGTGAGCAGAGAAAATAATAAAAGGACAGCCCTCTAAACTGTTTTCTTAAGAAAAGAAGGGAGGAAAGGGTCCCAGAATAAAGTTTCTACAGTAGAGACGGGTCTCCATGACTCTCACTCAAGCTGTGGTCGAGAACCTTCCGAAAAAGGTTTCACCCTTGCCATGACCTTGCTCACAGGACAGACACCCCGTTTGCGGCCTGAGAACACAGACAGCGGTGAGGCTGGCCTTGTTCAGGGTCCCGGCAGCTGCTGTCTTTACTTCAGGGATCCTTCCTGCTCAACCAAGAACCGAGCAGTGGGGGACCCATCGGACACTGACCTCAGGTCAGACAGGCCTCCTGCACCCCGGGGGGCAGACGACCTTGCGAGGACCTTCTCTAGGAGGAAGGAGCTCCCCCATTCTCCAGCTGCTGCCCTGAAACTCCCAGGCTCGCTCACTCTCCCCTTGACCTTGCCACAGGTAGAGGGCTCGCTACCACCTTCCCCTCCACCACACACCACTGAGCCGCCCGGTCCGAGAAGGCTAGAGGAGGTGACGCCTACATAGTGCCTGCAGTGAAGGGGGAGCCAGCCAGGCCAGGGAAAGAGTGCTCCTGGGAGACAGCCTGCACCGAGGCCCAGCGGGGAGCCGGAGCGGGGAGCATTCTGGGCACTGGAAGTTCATTGTGGCTGGAACAGAGTTGGGGACGAGGCTAGGGAGACAGCAGGGCTCCCCCCGCCCCCAGCTCCTTGCAGCGTTAGCATCACCCGGAGCTTATGCGAAATGCAGAATTTCAGGCCTGAGTCCAGAATTGCTGAGTCAGAGCCCGAGCTTTCAGATGCGGGGATGGACGCACAGCAAGTTTGAGAAGCACCTCAGCGCTCGAACTCAGAGCTCCGGGCGCCTCTGAATGACAGAGCAGGGGGCCACGTGGGAAAGGTGAGGGAGCCACTGGGGCCAATCTAGGACACAGGAGGTCAGTTAAGAGCCGGTGCAGTTGTCCAGCAAGAGACGGCCCGCGCCCCTACAGGGCCGAGGGGTAAGGGGCAGAGGGCAGTGGACAGATTTCATGGCCAAGGGACAGGTTCAGCAGGCTGTGGTCTGAAGCCACTGGGGGTGGGGGCGGGCAGCCCCGAACCTCCAGAGGCCGGGCCCAGGACAGCTCAGCGGGCGGGGCAGGCTGGCCCCAGAGGCAGGGCAGAGGGAGCAGTATCGGGGGTGTGGGAACCAGGCCTCTCAGAAACCGGGTTCCTCTGCATCTGCACGTTGCCTGATGCAGAATGTGAGCCGACCGGTTTCCCGTGCGCCTCCTGTGGGTCCTGCGCGCGTGGGCACCCCTGCAGCCCGGCATCCATGGCACGCCCCACTCACCCTCCCATCCCAACCAGCCACAGGCTGAGCAGGGAGCCTGCCTGAGTTCTTGGGGGGAAACGCAGCAGCCTTGATACGTCCTGTTAGGGAAATCTGACCGCCCCGAACCTCAGCAGCAGAGAGTGGCTAAGAACGTCCACGGAGCATATGTTTGTGGGAGCCCCACCTGTGTCCAGCGCAGAACAGAGTCCCTCGGACCCGAAGGACAGGGCTGAGAATTCCCCAGCAACACTCGCCATCCGAGCAACAAGCACAGAGCAGTGGAGGGCGTGAAAGGCAGGGCAGCCTGCTGTCTCTCGGTGCTAAATATGCAGCTGGTAGGTGATGTGGGTCAGTTTCCCCAGTGCCCACACTGAGTGGCGTGAGTTCCGCACGAACAGCCGTGGCATCTGCTCTTGCACACAGGGCGGGGCCAGCTGAGCTGGGCTGGGCAGCTGCTGACGGGCGGGAGGTCTGCCCTGTGGGGAGAGACTCAGTGCCACCCTCCTTCCCTGTGGGGG